GCCAATGCGCCTGTCATCCGGAGACATAAGTTGACAAGTCCCGTGTGCCTGTAATTTCTCCAGCAGTTACAGCCTTCCTTTTCCTCTTTTATCATCTTGTATATTAAATCTTAGTGACTGAGCCTTCTGCATTCTCGCTTCTCTTCAAATTATTCTAATTAAAACGTGATATTTTAGAGAAAAACATTCCACTCATGTAAAAATTGAGTTTTGAATGGCATTTAAATTTTAAATTAATTTGTATTTGTTACACGACATTCTGAAAATTGACTAACGAGCTCTACACACCGAGCTATAATACAAAAGCGAGGTGTGTGACAGAGAAGTAAATTTTATATTGATTATCGATTAAACCAGTCTTCAACTTGGTACTCGATGGCGTAGTTATTACAACTACGTAAACTCTCCTGGTTTTATTTTGACAACACTATTTTTAGGATGCCTATTTGGTTCAAAAGGGCAAATCCCGGAGCCGTTAATTCTATTAATAAAATTTAATAACTCCTATATTAATACACAATACTTCGTTATTTTGGCATTAGACAGGAGAACATTTTGGGTTTTATCAGGTGTCATTTTATTCAATAACATCGTAAAACTAAATTATGAAAATTTTTTGCTACCTTTAGATGACCATTACGTTATTTTGATTCCTAGTATTAAGTACGTATTTTAACTTCAAAGGTTAAATTTCTGTCTGTACATAACCCATTTAAAAATTTAGCATTACAAAAAACTTAAAATAGCAGAGGTTCCAAATGTTAAACGCATATTTTTTAGGAAAACATTTTTTACATTATTGACATTTTTGTAAATCTCATTTGCCAATTCCTTTCCGTTACAGTAATTTGTTGACTGGAGGAAAATAATTAACGTTTTGTAAAAAAAACGAAAATTACATTGATCTATTATTTGATACTCGATGACGTAGACATAGTAAATATCCTTAATAAAGAATATTTGCTAAAACGATCATTCCCTGGGTTGAATAGTTAATATTATAATACGGGTCTAATCTTATAACATACGTAATGGTAAGCTCGCACATTTTTTTTTATAATCCTAAGTAACGGGACGAACAAGTCGTGTGCCTGGTGGTAAGCGATACGCCTTTCCATAACAGTTGTAGTGCCACTCAGACCTAAAGCTCTGAAGATTTAAAAATCACAAAGATCTGAAGGGCACAGCTACTGCTCCCGACACCCTGAGACATAAGGTGGCACGTCTCTTGTGCCTGCAATTTCACCAGCACCCTTGCCCTTCGAAATCGGAACGCAGTAATGTTCACATCACTGGTTGGCGGCAGAAGTAGGTAAGGTGGCAGTACTTCCCTGGACGAACTCTTTCACAAGGACCTCTACAGCTACTATAACATATTTATAATACAAATACAAAAGTACTATGATGGTGTCTGCAAACACCTAAACCCCGATTGGCATTTCTTTTTGTAGTCCTATTTATTCCGTACACTCTCTCTCTTCTAATTTTAGTTAATCTTACAATACATATGAATAATACAATTCCGCGAGCGGAACGCGTGCGGTTCGCAGTGAGCCGACTTTAACCAGGTACTCATTCTAGCGAGTGAAGATTCTATATCTATGGTGAAGACTGTTTCACGCGTACACACTAGAACCTCGTTACTGTATCAGCTGTCACGTTACAGTTACATCTCGCTAACGAGTACTCAGCTTAAATAAAAACAGCTCTTCATTGTGCAGGTTTGTAAAAACTTTTTGTTTCAGAAGAAGGTAAATACTTTATGAAACCTTATATTTTATTTGTAAACCCCGAAAAAAATTTCATTTTTTATGCTTTAATCATTATTGTACTCAGTTTTACAAACAGGTCAAATTTCGAGTTTATAGACCAAAATTCTTTTTCAAGTTTGGTGAGTACCCTTTTATTTAAAACGCCCATTTTGTAAACATGTTTACGTTAAAATATCTCCAACATTCTTTTGCAATGAAAAGGTATTTCCTTTACAAAAATCTCATATGGTATTTCGCATGAAATATTAATTCGAAGCAGGTGTCCTTTAGGTAAATTACGGTATTATGTGACTTTGTTACAGTAAACTTTTAAGTAAGGAACGCCTTTAAAAGGAGCATTCGAATATTGTAGACTCTGAGCTGAACGTTACAGAGCACAAGATCACAACAAGAAAAACAAACCCATTTTGCGGAAATGATTTTGGACTTTTTGTATTTATGCGCATTTGACTTCCATCTCAACTCATGGAAAGTGACGATGAAGTCGACGATGGAGCATGCACACCTAAATAATGTCTATTCACTCTCGCCTTGAAAACGTCCAAGTCATAAAGTTCAGGGAATAAGTCTGCAAACAGGGAATTCCACTCCTTTGCCGTTCGCCATATAAATGTGGAAACGAAGCGCTTCGTGCGAAACCTAGAAATATCCACAACATAGGGGTGGAACCCCAACCTACGCCTGGTCCCCCGATTATGGAAAGGGGAAGGCGGAATTAATTCAAGCTATTGCCTCACACACTCTGCGTAATATATCCTGTAGAATACCGACAAGTATTTCACGGAGGTATTCAAGGCTTCGTCTATACTAATTCTGAGTCACCTATAAGCCTTTTGCCACGCTTGTCGATTGAATCCAAGGCGGTCAGTTGGTATGTAGCAAGGCTTTTGGTATGTACAATAAAAGCAACTGTCCCGATGTGAAGCAACGTCTCATCATGGAAAGGATGCCAAGCTTTTTGGCTGCATTTTTCGCCATGGATTCTATGTATCTATCGAAGTTCGCGAATGTTGACACGATCACACGATAATGTATATCATCATCATCCACAGTCTGATTTCACCCAGTGCTTCAGGTAGGACTTCCGAAATTTGTGCCTATACATCACGGTCCTGTACTAACCGCATCCATTGACGCCCCGCGAACTATGTCGTAGACCCACCTTGCAACTGGGCGCCTGACGTTTCTTTTGCCCATCCTCGGCCATCAATCAGTCACCGTCTTGCTCCATCGGTCATCACCTCGCCTTACTATGTGTCGCCCAACGCCCAACTCCATTTGAGTTCCATGACTCGAGTTCCAGCATCCTGAACTTTCGTCCGTCGTCGGACCTCAATATTCGGAACTCGGTCTACAAGGCTCATGCCGAGCATTCCGAGCCGAGTTCTCTGTGTAACTCGCAACATGTATACAGTCTCCTGCGTGAGCGTCCATGCTTCGGCACCAAACGTGATGGTGGGCAGAACACATTGATTAAAACTTGATCACGCGATATGACAGGAATATAAGGCGGTGGCGCGATCCGTGCACTTTCATTTATTCATTCATTTATTATACCGACAACCAAACAGATAACAATCACATTACATTGATAAGAATAAATATGGTATTACAACGCACTGTACCAGAATGTAAAACTACATACGACGAACAAGTTGTGCGCGTGGTGGTAAATGATCACTCAGAACTATAAATCGCAAATATTTGAGGGAATTACTGCCACTAAGCCCGTCACCGAGACATAAGTTGACAAGTCCCATGTGCCTATAATTTCCAGCACCCCCTTCAAAACCGGAACACAGTAACGATCATATAATTAGTAATTCCCTGGACGAACTCTTTCACGAGGAGCTCTACTGCTACGCCTGGTTTCAAACTAAGCAATTCCCTGTATTATAGGCAGCATTCCAACGGAATGGGGCACTATCCAGAACACTTAGACCAGAACCAATTTCGAAAAGTTCATTTTCCAAACTGGTCCAACCAGAAATCGTCCCCGGGAAGATCATTCTGCGCCCGCAGTGCAAACCATAGGGCCATTAAGGCTGTCGTTTTTCATGTCAAATACAATTTTTCCATATTATTTAATACAGACCTAACGGCAAATAATACATGTCTGGTGCCAAGTAACATATAAGTATGTACATTTCTTAAATCTATTTTGTCTGCTTTCCAAATATTATTGTTCAATTTTACATTAGCTCCCTTTACCCAGTCACTCTATTGGTGTGATCAGGAGCATACAGGATAGCGCGCGGGAATGCCTGTACGCGTAATCGTGCGCAATTACCTATGTCTTTACACGCGCGTTCAATCGCGTACGATTGTTGTATCACGCGCGATAGAGTATCTGTGTAAAGCCCGCCATTACGTCACTTTATTATGAAGGGCACACATTGTACATTTGATGGACGCTACAGTGCTATTTTTAGTATAATAAAACAAGCATTTTACAAGCCTTTCTCTCTACAATAAAAACAAAAGCTGTAAAAGTATCTAACTGGTGTTTTCACTCTGCGGCGAACGTTAAGAGATTCTTGTAGCCAAGAGAAAATAAATACATATTTTGTACGGTTTTGCTCAGGAAAAAGCGTTTTCTTGTTTCATATGAAATATTACAGTTATGATATAGTTAATTTAAATATTGTTTTCCGAGTAATATTTTAAGTTGCACAATGTGCTACGTACGATAGCAGTACGTTTTTATTTTCACAATCATTGGCACATCCAAAGACCTTTTTGTTGCTTACCAACTTACCAATGACGTAAGTGTAAGAGTGTTGTCACACGGACGCTGCCGATGCTCTCTCCGATTCGTCTCCTGACCCCTTTACCGATACGCACGTATATCGTCCCTGCGCGCCGCCGCCGTTTCAACACGCACATCTAGTTCTAATTTATATGCATTAAAACGCAGCGTCACAACTCAGGGACACAACGCCAAAACGTCGCTTTATGAAGTGTTGCAAATTATTAGTTCGTAATAGTTTTTTTTAAAGAATATACGATTATCTCTGCAATATGCAGTTGAAATTTATTTATTAAATTGAATGAAGAAGTATAATCAATGTTTTTAAAGCCTCTATGGGGCAGTTTATTATTTTATCATGTCATGCTACGTATTCCATTCGAGAATTGTTTTTTGTTTATACATTTGAAGTGTTTGGTTGAAGGCAAATTAATAAAGTACGTATCTTTGTTCGCAGACGTTCACATCAGTGATTCGACATGACGACAGACAACGCACTGAATTCTCAACGGTAAGTTTTAATTTAAAAGTTGTAATTTGATTGTAACTTGAGTACACCATGAAAGGTTTTGGTGAGACTAAATCAAAGAAGGCACAATGTTTTTTCTTCTTCTTTTTAATACTTGTTTCAAGTCGATTAGATATAAACAAACTTTTTTTATTTCTATCAATTTTCCTCTGTGGCTGACAGTTGTCGACATTATAAAAACATTGCAAGCAACATAAATACCCTAAATTGGTTTCCGGCACTCGATTACCGCTGCCGCGATACGCTCGCTCGGCTCGTGCGGCTGGTTCATAACTTTACCAAGGAAGACAGTAGGTCAAATTTTTTCGGAGACGTTTGACCACAGAGTCAAAGTGGTAATAACAAAAAAATGTTCACTTACATCTAATACACTCGAAAGTAGAATTAAAAGTAACTTCTAAAAAAATTTAAAAATATATCCAAGTTTTCTGCGCTGGCCTCAGTCTTATGATGGTAAAGCGGCAGATATAAAAACCATATTTGTGTGGCAAAAACGAGCGACTCGTTCTGTGTATCATTTAGGTCCTCAGTTAAGTTAAGTTAAGTTTAAGAGACTTGTATCATGGTTGTGGCATCACAGTACATTTACTCAAATAATAGGGGTTAAAGTATGAAATTGCCGATTTGTACTGAAAATCTAAATTGTTTATTTTTTAAATTTTTAACAAATTTATTTAATCAAAATAGTTGCCATTATTATCTATACATTGCTGCCATCTAATGGGAAGGTTATTAATGCCTTTGCGATAGAACTCCGACGATCTAGACTGCACAAACTGTGTGAAAGCATTTTGTACTGCCTCCTGGGAAGAAAACTTCTTGTCACGTAGATAATTGTCCAAATCACGAAAAAAATGGTAGTCCGTTGGAGCAAGGTCTGGTGAATACGGAGGATGACGAATGGTTTCTAACTGCAGTTCCTGAAGGGTCAAAATGGTTTCTCGTGCTGTGTGAGGTCTCGCGTTGTCGTGTAGCAATAATGGTGAAGATCGATTCATGAGTCGGGGCTGTTTTACTGCTAGTTTTGTCAACATGGTTCGGAGTTCGGCACAATAGGCATCTTCCGTTATTGCTTGACCAGATCGTAGAAAACTATAGTGAATAACACCATGCTGAGACCACCAAACAGTTACCATTACCTTTTTATTGGTAAGTTTTGCTTTAGGACACTGTTGTGGCATTTGACCTGGGGTCAGCCATTGCATTTTTCTTTTCCGGTTATCATAAAGAATCCACTTTTCATCACATGTTACAATTCGATCCAATATTCCTTTATTTCTGTACCGGTTCAACAAGGCAACACAAGTTTCAACACGCGTTTCTTTCTGCAGATCAGTAAAATCATGAGGCACCCATTTTTCGTATTTTTTTATTTTATTGATTTGACGCAAGTGAGTCAATATTGTGGGTAAGGTAACGTTAAACCATGCCGCTAATTCCTGGGTAGTTTGACTAGGATCGGCTTCCACTATCTCTCTTAATTCATCGTTATTCACCTTGTGTGTTGTGTGGCTCGTTCTTTAAGTCGAAATTTCCGTCACGAAAGCGTTTAAACCAAAATCGCACGGTGCGTTCATTAGTAGACCCCTCTCCAAACGCAGCATTGATATTGCGGGCTGTTTCTGCCGCGTTAGTTCCGCGTCGGAACTCGTATTCAAAAATCACTCGAATTTTCGCAGTATCCATCTTTCTTGTCTAAATTGAATAACAAAAACAATTGAAAGTCGATATTCAAATGTTTCAAATTTAAAAAAAAAAAATCACAGAAACCATTTGAAATTTATTGTATATTTTTTATATTTTGTTTTTGTTATATTTTTATTGCATGCAGTAAAAATATATATAATTTCAATAAGAAAGATAGATATCCATAATATGAACTATTTCGTTTAACTAAGGTAAACGATTCTATTATGGGTAACTGTACATATATGTTTTTACAATAAGATTCCAGAGCATACATTAAGATTATTCTTTCCTAAGTCCAAAATTACATCAAAAGTATTTCAATTGAAAAGCCATATTACAAAATTGAAGACTTCGTGTTAGATAAAGATGTATGGAAAGACAACACAAATATGATTCAAAGTGTATTTATTCCATAGTATTTAAGTTTATTTGAAGAGCGCAATCGCTATAGTTTCAGTTTGTTGTTCTCAAGGAAATTAAGCGCGTTTTCAAGTGTAAAAATTGTACTTATGGAATAAATGATTATTTAACTTTACTTGACTTGATATTATTAAAATAGAATTAAATTACTTGCTACTCCGCGAACCCAGTGAACGCCCAAGAAGTGAAAGTAGACCAAAGGGTCGAAACACAAAACTGCGAGTCAGCGCTATGCGCAACGCAGACACTGCGACGAGAATTAATTGCTGCGATGCGATTTCTTGCGGCAAGACATCAAATAAACACGGTCTAAAAGTTAAATCGTGCAAAATAGCTAGACTAATGTTGAATATTTATTCATGGATTTATTGTAACGTCTTCTTAATTTTCAAAGTATATCAAATTTCAAGTCAGTCGGACAAATAGAAATTACATAAATATTCATTTTACGGCAGAGATCCCTGCCCTAAGGAAAGAATTGATTATCTGTAAACAGCTAAACTACTAAACTAACTAACTAGACACACTAAACAAACTAACTAAAGATGTTTAACAACGTCGCTAAGAACCATCTCGTATAAATTAGCCTTTAAATGAATAGAACCTCTTTGCCGTATAGACAGTTACACAGGTAAAAGCTTCAAATGTATAATTTCCTACTGTTTCCAACAGTGGTTAAAAATATCACGTAAAACCACAGAATAAGTATACGTACATATTAAAAATTAATTATATTTTAGAAATGCTGTTAAGATTTCCCGTAATTACTTAAAGAGAAGTGGCGAATGCCCTTTCGAAAGATATAAGAATAATACATTTAAGGGTACGATGTCGTGTCAAGATGTCAATTAGTAGAGGCCACTGAGGCAATCAATTAGGTGACAATTAGATCTCGCAAACAGTTGATTGGCCTAATTGTTCGCAATACTATTCATTATATGGCCTTGTTACCCAAATTTCTGAGTTATCCATGCTTCTAATCATAATTCTAATATTCTAAATAAGTATTGTAAATGGTAAATATATATGTTTATTTACAAAATGCAACTAGAGTCCTTGGTCATTCTTCTAAGGAGAATCTGCTTTACGAATGAGCAGTAGAGTTTATATTACAATTTTACCTACCTGAGAAATAAATATTATTTGACTAGATTTTGATTTCGATACCTATCTATGACAAGGAATTAAAATATAGTCTCAGTACAGAGTATTAAAAAATCCTCCTCCTTAAAAGTTTGCGGAATAGATGATGTGTCTATTAGCCATGTTTTATTAAAATTGGTCTCCGGAAAGTGCGCGAAACCGGAGGGGACCCCTAGTTTGCCACACTTAGAGGTGGGATGTTTTCTTCAAATTCAAATGGCATCAACGCGGTATCCTCTTTCCAACAAAAGAAGAATCATCAAAATCGGTTCACCAATTACTCGAGTTATCGCGTAACATACATACATGCCGTATATTAAAAAAGCAGTGGTAACCCAATTATTTGACTTACCGTCTCTCAAACAGAGGCCGTGCATTCGAATCCGGGCTCGCACTTCTGAGTTTAATTTGAAATTTGCCGTGAGCTTTTCGATGAAGGACAACATCGTGATGAAACCTGCACGTCGAAGACGGTTCTTAACCCTCAGAAAAGGTGTGAAGTCCCCAACCTGCATTGGGCCAGGGTGGCGGACCTACACGCGCCAGGAAGAAGAACCGTGCTCAGCAGTGGGACATTAGTATGGGTTGATGATGATGAGTTATACAGTTACTTATGCAGGGTGTAACGAAAAGTACGTACGTACTTCAGCTGGAGATCGTACTCCAAACAACAAAAAACTTTGGAGAATAACTTTCAATTCACGTCAAAATATTTTCATGCCCCATAAAAGTTTTTGATTCCAAACTTTTTTATAGACGCAAATATTTTTCCAAGAATTTCAATTTATTATTTTAAAACTTAAAAAAAAACATATATGTAAGCTACACGCCTGTCTATAACAGTTACAGTACTAAAAAAATATTGAATATCAATTCAATAAAAATTTGTGTAGTGTATAGCAACATCTCTCGCCAGGACTGGTAGCTGTAAAGGTACTAACTGGGTGATAAATCTTTCATAGATTTCGCATAGATGGCGCTACGACTAAAAAGTCGTTGAAAAACCAAATACAAAGACACGACGCAAGCACATAGAAAAATTCGTGTGGTCCGTTGGTTCGATCCGTGGCTTAGTTGGTATAGCGTCTGGCATGATAAGCTAGAAGACGTCGGTTCGAATCCGGCCGGATTGAAGGAATTTTTTCTGAGTGTTCGATCTTTGTATTAATAATTATAGTTACAGTACTACTCAGAGCTTTAAATTGCAAAGATCTGAGGGGCACTGCCACTGCGCCCGTCACCCTGAGACGTAAGTTGACAAGTCCCATGTGCCTGTAATTTCGCCAGCACCCTTACCCCTCAAAACCAGAACACAGTAATGCTGACATTACTGCTTGGCGGCAGAAATAGGTAAGGTAACAGTACTACCCTGGACGAACTCTTTCACAAGGACTAACTACTCTACTGCGACTAAAAATATAATAATAAATATAATAGTAAGGAAGTATCTCAATCTAGCGCATGAGATCACCGATATGTGGATTGTGGCTTCCATTTTTAGATCGCATCCCATTCTTACTACATCACATATGTTTGCTCTGATCCCAAAGTAAAAAGCTAAAGCACTAGTGTTATGGAAATTGGAAACAACGACGTTGCCATAATTGTTTTGTCTGCAAACGGGTTAATTCCAGGCAAGCTCGGTAGCAGAATAAGGCGGTTTGGGTTTCTATAGCGTGTCGCTTCCAACACAAATGCAGAAGGCCGTCCTTTTTTTTTTTTGCTCGATACGGCACGTATTGTTCGCCGGTTCTTGAACCTGAGTCCCTGACCCCAGTCGACTATGCTATTGCCGAGGAATACCGCCTCTCGCATTTAAAAATTCAAAATTTTTCTTTTAGGTCATGGAAGAGGCGAGAATCTAAAATATATATCAAAAATAATAATGCCATACCACCATAGCAATTAACTGTCTCCATGGTCGAACGGTTACCACGCTGGACTGCCACGCAGAGGTCCTGGGTTCGATTCCTAGGCCGGGAAAAATATGTGTCTACATTTATTTCTCTCGAGAGTTTGAATGCAAATTTAGCTTATATGTAACTTAGTATCAGTAGAGCTCCTTGTGAAAGAGTTCGCCCAGAGAAATGCCACTGCACCTATTTCTGCCGTAACAGTAATGTAAGCATTACGGTGTTCCAGTTTTAAAGGGTAATGGTGAAATTACAGGCACATGGGTCTTCTCAACCTATGTTTCAGTATAGCGGGGGCAGTGGCGGCCCCAAAAAAATCTTTGCGATTTAAAGCTCTCAGTGGCACTGCAACTGATATGGATAGGCGTGTTACTTACCACCAGGCGCGCGCTTGTCCGTCCCGTCACAAAGTCAAAGATTATTTATTCCATAGGTAAAATAAATTTACACTTGAAATCGTCACATTTAAGCCACTGCTCGTTCACTACGCTAACCTCCCTGAGAAGAACGAGCAAGAAACTCTAGGGATTGCTCTTTTCAAATAAACTTAAATGCTATGGAGTACACTTTGAATCAAATTTGTGTGGATTCTGGAGCCGTGTCGTCTTTCCATACATCTTTATCTAACACGTGAGTTACGTAGTTTTTAAACTTAGGAAATGATAAACTTAATATTGTGGTTGTATACGTCACAAAAATTGTGGTTGTCTACGTGTGTGTCCATGGCACCCGCGATACAGGGTTTCCCTACGGCGGGGCTATGAGTTCCGGTTCCGGTTTTGAAGAATAAGGGTGCTGGTGAATATACTTGCGTTTTAAAGAGCTGAATGGCACTTCCGTTATGGACACCTGTCCATAACGGTTGCAGTTACACACCTGTGTAGCTTACCATCGGTCTCACGACTTGTTCGTCCCGTCATTTGATATTATAAAAAAAAAAGTTACAGTAATACGCATTATCTGAAATGATACTCTGTGATTTGACATCGAATATTTTACTTTATTTATCCATTTTCTTTGCAGGGTGTTCAAAAAATCTTCGCCAAACAACAAGCTCACCCTGTATCTGGCTTCAAGAGATCTAGTGGTGGAGAACGGATGCATCGACAAGATTCAAGGAGTTCTCCACGTGGACCCGGAGTATTTGGAGAATAAAAAGTTGTTTGGACAAGTCACTCTTACGTTCAGGTTAGTTATTGATACTACAAAAACATAATTAGCAGATACGTGAAATAAGCATCATTGCCATTAAACAAAGTCGCATTAAAAATAACTATCGTACAATTCTACTATTAAAATCAAATCTAATGAAAACATTTTTTTTTCTTTATTTATTAGAGAGTTTATTCTTAATGAGTGCCACCCCCAAGGTATCATAGCACCACTCAAACACACTACCTACAAATCAATACATAAATACTAATAATTATCTACATTTTATGCATTTTTGTACCATGCGGTACAGCGCTCTGGCGACTTTAGATGTAGGGTTGACCAGTATGCTGTTACACATACCCACACTTAGTATTGGCGAGTTCAATTTGATGCCCAGCTGAAGCCTCTCAATCTCGCCCCGGACACACTCCATGAGGACGTGGTATATACACATCCTCTATCTTCTTACAAATAGAGCAGTTGGGAGACATTGTCAATAAAAAACTGATACTGGCCACTACCGTGATGTGTTTGGTGTGTATTCCTTTTTCAAAATTAGTGACACTCCTTTGTATATTACGTTTCGCTGTGTATGGACAACATGCCGGAAGAAAAAAGCAAAAAGTTTAAAAATGAACAAATACTCTTTCAATTACCCTTTCTAGCAAATGAAATGTTTATATTTCCATTGCAAAAGTGTTGAAAAAGAAGTAGCTATGATCGTCTTTTATTTCATAGTTATTTGTTTTTTCAACCGCCTCTCCTATATTTACCATTCGCTGAAAAGAACTTTATTTATTTACACTAAAGTAACAATTTACATCGTCAATAGTTCCATGTATTACCTATGTAGATCTACGTATTTCGACTAGCTCCAATAAAACTACCACTGAACAGTAAATGTAACTTAAAGGTATAATCATATTGTCAAGATGGTACACGTATTATATGAAAATATTCCAGTTTGACATTTAGATAGGGGAATGGTACACATGAAAAGAAAAATTAATATAATACTCCAGTTTTTTCCAATAAGTGTTTCCGTGGCCGAAAGAAATTGTTCATCCGAATGCGAGTATACTATTGGTTTAATTTAATAATAAATAGTACACTGATAAAATCTAAAATTAAAGTGTCACATTATTGGCCTTTTTTGACGACCTCGGCGGCCCAACGGTTTGCACCGTGGACACTGGGCGAGGATGTCCCAATTTCGATTCCCAATGGGACCAATTTGGGAAATGAACTTTTCTATATTGATTATGATCTGGGTGTTCTGGAAAGTGCCCCAGAATGAATTCCGTTGCTCTGATACTCTTAGTACAGGTCATTCCCTAGTGTGAAACCAGGCATTGGTGTGACTGTCTGAGATATTGTTATTATATTTGGCAGTGCAACATTTGTCTGCAACTGTGGACGGTTACCGTGCTGGTCTGCCACGCAGCGGTTCCGGATTCGATTCCCGGGTCGGGAGAAATTTTACATTTATTTCTCTCGTGATTTTGGGTGTAATTTGTGGTTGTCTATGTGTGTGTCCATGGCAGTCGCGATACAGGGTTTCCCTAGGGCGGGGCTATGAGCGGACACATCCGCGCGTTATTAGGTTTTTCGAATACATCTTTTTATTTTTGCATAACGAAATAAGTACATTGTAAGAAGTTAACACGGGAATAAAGAAGCAGAAATATACTCGCGTGTTACTAATCAAAACAATTAGTAACACGCGAGCAAAGCTGAATATGGCAAATCATTTATATCTAAATATTTTCCTGTTAGTACTATTTTAATTCTTAACCGGTGGATTAAATGTCAATCCAAGACTTTTACTTCGTATTAGCTACTTAAAAAATCGACCTGAGTATACAAAATTAAGTGGAATTATAAAAACAAACACAATAATTTACTAAAAAAATAAACATTCAAATCAGACTATAAACAACTACTGCTGGTGTCACCAAAGGCAGCGTCGTAGGTCCGTTACTGTTCTTACTTTAAATTAACGATTTCCACTTGCAATTGACAATTTTCTTACGATACAACTCTTACAATAAATATCATTTCTCTCGTGTGTTTGGGCGTAATTTGTAGTTCTCAATGTGTGTGTACATGGCACCCGCGATACAGGTCTTCTCTAGTGTATAAAAAAATATAAGAAATATCTGTGTATTTGTCAACACTTGGTGAAGTCATTAAAAGGCAAACTAGAGCTAAAATTATGAATATTTTATACCAAACACGTTGCCATAAACTAAGTTATAAGAATAACTGCTTCAACATGCATGTGTACGTATAATTATTTTCAATAAAATACCAAATGAAATTAAATCCTTGCAAATACATATTTATGAATTACAAAATGTGTTTTGACACATTGCTTCCTTAGTAACAAAGAAGAATTTTAATTTACTTGTACAAATTTACATTCATTTGAAATTCAATTAACTGTAGACATCAAATATGAAATTCCATTAAAATTTGCACATCTGCTTGCAGGTTGAATACAATATACCTAGTTTTACATAAGAATTGTATAATTACTGTATGCCGACAAATAAACATATACTTTATGCTGTAGTAAGCAACATTTAATTGCTTGAAATATAACAGATAAGAGAGAAAATCAGAAAGAGCTGTTGTGTATTTGCGTTAGTGAAAATATTTATTTCTGGCTGCAATAGTGCCTGAAATTGTTTTATAGACAGAATTAAGCTAGATATTCTGGGCTGAACATCCCAGGGACAGTTACACTGATTGCCAGCAAATATTGCTAAAAACTATATTTAATAACGCAACTTCTCTCAAATAAAAAAAACCATATTCAATTACGGTTGAAAACTTGTAGCTTTTTTCTTTGGGTATTTATAAAAATATTATACTGTTGTACTCACTGCTAAGCAAGTTTTAAGGCAATGAAGGAGGATTGATGACCTTTTTCATATTTTTCTACTTCTGACGTTCGATACGATTAGTTCAATCGAAATAACACTAGTTTTTTCTTATCTATATCGCGTATATTAGAAATATCTACGCATTTATCAACACTCATCCTCAATATTTTAAAACACTTAATGAAGTTATTCAAAGGCAAACTAGAGCTAAAATTATGAATATTTTATACCAAAATCGTTGCCATAAAGTAATTTTCCAAATTAGGTTTTTCAAATTACACAAATTTAAATAAAAAAAATAGTATCATTTCCAATTCAGACGTTACGTTGCGAAGTCCATTTTGATAAAAATGGAAGTAAATTAGTTTGCTAAATATAATAAAAATAAAACCCAAGAACTTGGTAAAAATTTCCATTTAACTTCAACAGCAAAGCTTCAGGGGTAGTTTAAATACTGGCATACAAGACTGGTTTCAGAGCAGTGCGGATTTATTTGCGGATCGTCCGCGCGGAGCACCGGAGCGCAGTAACACATGTGGCGTTAGAACATCGTTTTACAGTGACGCGGATTGTTCCGTACGGAACACGCTCTGCGTGAACTCCGCACAACCCATCCGTGCGTTCATTGTAGGCAACTGACTCCCGTGAATAGCCTCACTAAATTAAAAACTTCATTCAAACACGATTCTACGCCATCCGCATGGATGGCCCGCAGGCGGACAGTCCGTGTGGACCATACACACAGCAGTGAAACCAATTTAATGCATTGTTTCCGCCGCTATGGGCTATTTTGCAAATTCGGTTATTTCATAATTTTGGCAGCTATTCATAGCCATGTGCCAGTTATTATGTTGGCCATATAAGTGACAATAATAGTTAGCGCATATAGTGCCACTGCTGGACACAGGCTCTCGTAAAGAGAGAGCTTCGGCTGTAGATCTCACGCGGATTCAATGTAGATTGGGAACAAGCAACATTCAATTTTTTGGCAGATGTGTGCTGATCCCTCAACGAAAACTTACTTACGTCTCTGGCTCAGCAACCCGAAGTGGATCTTGGCCTCCGACACCAAAATACGTCATTTCTGTCGGTCTTTTGCAAATTCCGACCATTCGGCACTTTGAGCTCCTTTAGATCTTTGGCGACTCCAACTTTCCAGCGATATCGTGGACGGCCCACTGGACCCGCAGGTTGCCCCAAATACGCTATTTTGATAGCATGATCCTCTCCCTTTCTTTCCACATGTCCTGGCCGATCGATCTAAACGATTACCGAACAGCTTATAGCAATGGTTAAGAAAACAAAGATCGAACACACAGAAAAATTTCATCAAAGTCTCTTGAAAGTCCACTGAGTCCCATCGGCTCGACGAAATTTTTCTGTGTGTTCAACCTTTGCAATCATAATCATAACAAAACTAGTGAAGTTATTTCACAAAAACCTCCATAAATAGCTTATAGTATATTAGAAATTAAATTTCGTACATAAATTCTGAGGTACAAGCCCTGATTCGTACCCGCGACACTCCGTTTGTGAGGCAGTAGGTCAAACCTATCGACCACCGCGACATCATTTTTCTTCCTTTTGGTATCCTTTTATATCGGTTTGTACATTTTGTATTAACATCCCATACTATGTAAATTCTGCCTTATTGAATGACACGATCGATTTCTTTTCGTATCGATGGCATACATTATAAGGCTTGCCATCATGATGAAGGAATTTACCAATCGGCGTAAGGTTTTTTTTATGACACCCAGTGACGGGACGAACAAGTCGTGCGCATGGTGATAAGCAACATGCCTGTTCATAACAGTTGCAGCGCTGCTCAGAGCTTTAAATAGCAAATATCTTAGGGACACTTGCCACTGCGCCCGTCACCCTGAGACATAAGTTGACAAGTCCCATGTGCACGTAATTTCCTTAAAAACCGGAACACAGTTATTAAAATCCTGGGTATTGTATTTCCATTGTCGTGACCAACCCCCAAGATTCTATACCGTTTATCTTCAAAATTAAGTACAAAAACAGTCCATTAAAAACCTCTAGTCATTCTATTTAAACCCCCCACGGCCCTTACAAAAGGGAAACGAAACATTCGTTATTGAACCCATTTGTATTAATTTGCCGAAAGTGTTTTGTAGC